TTGTTGTTGTTCCCTTGATTATTTCACGAAAAATTTGGGTGTTATCTCCAACCAGGGTTATACGTGTTCGAATAGGGATTATTGTTGTTCCGATTGTAGTTGCCCACAAAATTAGTTGATCATGGTTTTCAGGACATTCACTCTCATGATGGTTGCCTTGACAGAATACACACACATTATTGGTCGCCTTGGCTTCTCTTACCTCATTAGGACGTTACAAATTTTTCAACATATTGGTTATGGCAGAAAGTTAGGCTGCTACTGAATCTTTGCTTTCTAATTCATATGCTTCAGAGGTTTTTCTGCCGGTTCCCAATCTTGCACTTGGAAATTGATGGTTATTATTTGCTATCCTGTCGAGGATGTCAAAAGCTTCCTCGGGTGATTTGTCTAGTAGGGTGCCATATGCTGAGGCATCTAACATCATTCGAGTTGGTGTGTTGACTCCATTGTAAAACATCACCACTTGTGTCCAATCATGAAATCCATGATTAACACATTTGCGAAGTAAACTTTTATACATATCCCAACATTCGTACATTGATTCATCAATGCCTTGGCAAAAACTCGCAATGTCGTTCCGAAGCTGTGTATTCATATTGGGCGGATTATATCGGAGTAGGAAACTCTTGCATAAATCTGCCCATGACTCCATTGATCCGGAAGGAACTCCGCTGAGCCAAGCTCTTGCTTATCACGGAAGGAGTAAGGAAAAAGTTTTAGTTTGAGCACATCTTCATGTACTCCTTGTTGTCTAAATGAATCACATACTTCAAGGAAAGCACGCACATGCTGTCTAGCGTCTTCATTAGGTGTACCACCAAATTGGTCGATAGAGTTCAGCATATTAAACATCATCGGTTTAAGTTCAAAATGAGTGTCTTGTATCTCATGTGCCACTATGCCAGGATTGAGGTCATCGAGAATTGGGTTCAAATGATCTCGTATCGCTTGGTCTTGCAACTTGATCTCCTAAATCTCCTATGTCATTTTGCATTTGATTCAATTGTTCTCTGGTTCTTTGGGCACGCAACCTTTGTCTGAATGATTGCTCAATTTTGGGGTCGAATGGTTCCAAAGGCTTACCATCAGATCTCAAGGTCATGCAATAATAAAAACCTATAAAAGAAAATAATAAACTATGTTAGACTAAATAATTATAAAGTGACACAAAGAACTTGTTATGGCTGAAAATTTCGTCAGTTGCCAATCCCCGGCAACGACGCCAAAAACTTGATCGCTTGTGAATATATATGCTAAGGCAAACTAATATGTGCAAGTATACACGATCGATGCAAGTAATATAGTAATGAATGAGTATCGTCTCCACATGGATTGGATTAGAAATATCTTTTCACCACAACTAGAACTAATGCCACAAATTAATCCTACTAAGTATTAAAGCTAAGAATTAATATTAAGGAGCTAAGAATAATGATTCAATGATTTCAGACAAGTGTGGTCGAGACAAAGAAAATATGCAGACATATAAAACAAAACAAAACAAGTATTGGATTAAATATAATGCAAACAACCTCACATATTCAGATGTGTCACAGAGCACTGATGCTAAACCATTATCTCAGCAACAATTATTTTAAGCCCATAATGAATTATTATGACTCACTAAACTGTTCGACAGGATTACTAAGTATTCTTAGATGGTTGCTACGGCAATACCTCTCGGCGTTAACTGTAGACGTTGTCTTAACCTACTCTAGCCTTTATCCCTTTTAGTCGTTTGAAACTCACTCCTTATCTCTAAGGTAGACAAGTTAGAACTTCACTATCCCAAATTCATTCATTTTCTCACGTTGATCTCTCTTAATTCTCTCGAATTCAAGAATCACTTTATAGATAAAAGGCTATCTCTTGATGCTCTTACAATGCCCATACATGTTTTACCGAAACCCCAGGCAATCTCTCGATGCTCTTACAGTGTTAAGGCAAAATATTTAAACTATGAGCAAAACAGTCATAAGCAAACATAATTCATCATTCATAAACATAAAATATTGTTAAGGCAAAACAAAGTTTAACACCAAGTAAAGCATTCATGGTGTTATCAAAGATCATCCAAGATTAAACCGTTTAATACAACCCCAAATAAAAAAAAAGTTTAAGAACAAAGGAAGAACGACTCCCAAAATCGGGGGTTTTGTCGCGACAATCCTGATCAGCACCATACCTGCCTTGGTGATCACCCTATCTCGAGGCCTGATCACCGCTCTGCTATCGCCTGGCTATAGAGGACATCAAGGAAGACTAGGGGGTAGACGGAGGGAAAGCACTGTAGTTGCTTGCTCACGCCTAAGGTAAAGCTCTTATTTCTTCTTCATTGTCCTTTCTTTTTGCGGCTACAACTGGTAATTATAAGGAGAATCTCCTAGGGCTTTGCATGCTTTTGGAGTTTCCTTAATTAGCCGTTATTAATTTCCTAAACTTAAAAAGGAAATGCGGCTGAAGGAAATGCGGCTGACGGTTGTCAGGATATTCAAGGCTTGCTTGCACGTGAAGCAGGTTATCCAACTGGCATGTGACATAGGCAGTTTCGCCACATTTGCTTCAGACTTCTTCAGATAAATCTTGCCTCGGCGAGATAAATCTGCTCCTCACGTTCTCATCTGCTCCATTGGCCTTTGCAAATTTTCATTGTCACGACTGAAATGTTATTCCTCTGTAGAATTCCTGTACAAACACAACTCAAACAACCCCTTCTCCTCAGCAGTATTAGTTAAGCCAAATAAATATTGCCTAGGCAAAACCTATCCAAAATGCAACTAAAAATGCAGTGTATACTTTGTTTAGATGAGCAATAACTTAAGTGAAAAGACTAGAATTTAAATCTTTTTACAGAGTTATCACCTGTTAAAGGTGAATTACTCAACTATTTACATATAAAAGAATAATGTATGTCATGTTAATTTTCTAAACTTCTTTCTTCTTTGTTAATAGGTACTAAGCAATATACTCCTATCACTGAAATGGACCTTATTTTGCCTCTAGAATTAAAAAAGACCACCTGGAAGGCCAACCAAAAAAAGGAGAAAGGAAGCTGATGAAGGAAATAAGAATGGACCTAAATTAAACAAGAAATATTCGATGAGAAACTGCTCTAAGTGTGGTAAACCTGGCCACAATAAGAGGACCTATAGAGAAGAAATTGGCAGTAACAAGAGACTAAATCAACATGAATTTAGACCTAGCCAACGACATGCACCTAACCGGACATCCCAACAGTCAACTCCAAGGCAAAAACAAGCTTGAACCATCCAACCTACAAGACAGCAACAATTAAGACAAAAATTACCTACAAGGAGACCACTTAATCCACCTACAATAGCCCTTTGGATGATACCACCATCTACAATAGTCCATACAATGTCTGCCACTCAAGAATCTTGTGTTTCTAACCGTCCCAATCAAGATTTTCATACTACATCAAAAGAATGAAGTATATCCAAGTGATGATGGAACTTTTTGTGTAGTTTACCTAGGAACTTGACTTACTTTGTTATATACCTATTTTTGCTTTATTGGCTTTGATGTATATCCATTCATTTTGTAAAGTTTACATAAGAACAACCCATATTTTGACTTGAATTAAGCTTTGGCTTAATGTCATATTGAATTAGAGCCAAAGCTGGTTTGACAAATTATTGTTCTGAATTGTATTTTGACTTGTATCAGTTTATTGATAATGAAATACATCATATTTTGATATTTTTTTGTAATATTGAAGTTGTGCAACAATTAGAATTCAATTTTTGGTTATTTTGATTATTCTTGCAGTTCAATGCAAAAGAAAAAAATTAATGCACAATGAAAAAAATCAAATAAAAATTATAAAATAACACCACCATAAAGATTCATCTAGAAACACATACAAACTTCCATTACAAAAAGCTTTTAATCCACCATTCTAATAACAATATTCTTCAACAAAAACCTTCAATCCATCCAGGCAAACCTTTAATCCACCATTCAAATAACATCATTCTTCAACAAAGAAAATCCTTTCATTTCTTCATTTTCATTTGCTAACCCAAAGCTTATAGAGACATAAAATCAAGATAACAAGCTAAAAAATCCTCTCATTTCTCCTTTCCCCTTTCCATTTTTCTTAATTTCTTCAACAATCCTAAGCAAACAAATCTTGCCCAAGACACCATGGGAGGATCCATCCAAACAAAAAAGTTGACATTTTGTACTCATCTTTTGTCCATAATTTTGGCAACCAAAAAACCTCCTCCCATAATTTTTATTCGTCCAAGCCGTCACCACTTTAGCTGGTTGTCCACAATTACAAATAGGAACTTCAATGGAGTCTTCCATCTTCACCTTACCTAGCTTTTCTCTTAGGAAATTTTTGAGAAAATTTTCAAGAAAAGAGAATATGAAGGAAAATAGGTAAACTAGGGTTATGGATTGTGTTTTTATTTAAAAGGGAAAAGATAATGACCGTTGGAGAACTGCTCTCTTCCACCATGACATTCCATATAAGTAGCTAACGATCCACGTGTGTTTTCCGTTACGCCTGTTATCGGCTGTTAACGTCGAGTGACCAATTTATAACAAACGATAACGTTAGTGACCAATTTGTGATTTTTAAAACATTAGTGGTGAAAATAAAACCTTATCCAAACATTAGTGAGTAGTTTACCCAAAAAGAAACCAAGAAAAGAACATATGTTTTCAAAACTCGGTCATGCGCTGCACGCGTCTGATACGTATAACCTAACTAGTTTTACACTAACCTCATAAATGGCTGCCTCCATTCACCAACCCACCCCCGACACAAAATGGAAAATCAAAAACAAATTTTCAATTATTTTAATATATACTAACTACTAAATAAACATGCAAATGTGTTTTTTCCTCAGTTTCTCCAACCTACCACAACTACAGTGCTTCATTGATCTTTACTAGTTTTTCATCGCCGCTTGACGGACTTCTCCACGTCCTTTCCTTCCTTATTTATACTTTCTTCCTCACCCATAACTTTCTGCCCAAACATGGCTTTAACAACCCAAACCTGTTTCCTTCAAAAACCATTCCTTCCTTCTCCTTCTCGTGCTTTTTCCCCTTCTCGAAAACTCCGTCTCATTTCTGTCCGCTGCTCCGTAGCTTCCGCCCCGTCTGCGGCGGTGACGGCCTCCAAAGAATGCAAGGTCAAATCGGTCAAGGCTAGGCAGATCATTGACAGCAGGGGTAATCCCACAGTCGAGGTTGATTTGATCACCGATGATATTTATCGATCAGCCGTTCCCAGCGGCGCCTCTACTGGGATCTATGAGGCACTTGAGCTCAGGGATGGTGACAAGAGCGTGTATGGCGGAAAAGGTGTGCTCTCTGCCGTCAGAAACATCAATGAAATTTTGGGTCCTAAGCTTATCGGCATTGATGTCAGGTAAAACTTTGAACCACCTTTTCTTAGAAGCAAAATATGCAAATAGCTGAGCTCTGAGGTACTCATGCACGAGCGTTGTCAATAATTAAGAAAGACATTGAACAGATACTACTTGTAATCTCTTAGTCTATTAAAAAAATCTTCATATGTCGATGTTCCAATATGGGTAGGAGATATTTTCATGTATACTGAAGAGTGAAGTTAACCAAGTACTAGAACCCAAAGGGCTTGAATAAATTAACTTGACGAGTATCCGATTATGAATCTGGCACATGTATGTTCAGTTTTTTCTTTTTATGTATTTGGAATGTACTCTATCCTGTACCTATGTACGAATGTGTGTATGGATAATTATATTGATAAGTAAAATGAGAGTCAGTTCACCAATTATTTTGTTGGACTTGGTTTTTTGTCTCTTTGACAAGAAATCAAGCGGATGTAGATGCTGTTATGCTGGAAATCGATGGCACTCCAAACAAGTCAAAGCTCGGAGCTAATGCAATTTTGGGAGTGTCATTGAGTGTATGCCGAGCAGGTGCTGGGGCGAAAGGGATACCATTGTATAAGCATATTCAGGAATTGTCAAGAACAAAGGAACTTGTTATGCCAGTTCCAGCTTTTAATGTCATCAATGGTGGAAGTCATGCTGGAAACAATTTGGCAATGCAAGAGTTTATGATACTGCCAGTTGGAGCAACCTCATTTTCCGAGGCCCTCCGAATGGGGAGTGAAGGTAGCTAAATAATCCCATATCTATCTTATTTGATGTAGTTGTAATTCGTAGGAACAATTTTTTATCATCTGGTATGGAATTTAATATCAAGTTTGATTCATATTTTATACTTATAAGTTTATGATTTAGGTCAAGGAACCAATGTTCTTTTAATTAGTTTGGAAATCAGATTTATGGCTATTTATTTGTACCTTAGATTGTTCTTTGGTTTATTATTTGAATCTATTTGCACCATATGTCAGATTAGTTGATAATGCTTTCTTCTTTTTTGGTATATAGTTTATCACATACTCAAAGGCATTATCAAAGCAAAATATGGACAAGATGCTTGCAACGTTGGAGATGAAGGGGGATTTGCTCCTAATGTTCAGGACAATAGAGAGGGACTGGTTTTGCTAATGGATGCTATTGAAAAGGCCGGTTACACTGGAAAGGTAGGAGACTTGACACTCTTTTCTGTTTTTATTGTTTTTACATACGCCAAACATGATCAAAAAATATAAAAACGGCAGATCAAAATAGGAATGGATGTTGCAGCTTCGGAGTTCTACACAAAAGATGGGAAATATGACCTAAACTTTAAGAAACAACCAAATGATGGAGTGCATTTGCATTCACCTCAGAGCTTAGGTGAAATCTACCAAGAGTTTGTTAAAGATTTCCCTATTGTGTCGATTGAAGATCCGTTTGACCAAGACGACTGGAGCTCATGGGCTTCTCTTCAGTCTTCGGTCAATATCCAGCTTGTTGGAGACGATTTGTTAGTCACGAATCCAAAGAGAATATCAGAAGCTATTCAAAAGAAAGCTTGCAATGCCTTGCTTCTGAAGGTAACCATCTAAGCTAGCACGAACCCACCTTTTCTTGGAAATTTTTCTTATGTAGTTCTTACAGCATCATTCTTCTGTATTCAGTTTCTGCCATTCTGGCCTAGTAAACGTTTGATCCTCATTTAGAATAGAAACTGATAACATGCATATATGTGGCATACTTTGCAAGTGTTATTTGCATTGATACAATCAATTGATTATGCTATTGGAATCAGGATATGCATACATAAAATCCAGTTCGCAATAGAATTATTATACTATTGAATCAAGATTTGAAATACAAAAAATTCAATTTACTATAGAATAAATAATATTCTATAACTTATAGATTTCTAACTGTCCATTGCATACATTATATAGCAGCCAGGCTTGTGTTAAACATTGATGTGATTAAGGTCTTTGGTTCAATAAATGGATCAATGGGTTCAAATAATATGAGCATGCATGATAAAATATGGGATGGTTGATTACTGGGATTGCTATTCAAATAAACAAACACTTTTTTCCCATTTGTACATTGTAATGCATCATATTTTTCTTACTGTATATGACAGGTTAACCAGATTGGGACAGTGACTGAATCTATCCAAGCGGCACTCGACTCTAAAGCTGCAGGATGGGGAGTGATGGTCAGCCACCGAAGTGGGGAAACAGAAGACAACTTCATCGCTGACCTTTCTGTTGGTTTGGCTAGCGGCCAGGTACATAATTTGAAATCGCTAATCTGTGATTGCAATTAATCAGCAATAAATTTTCGTAATTTTTTTAAGTGCTAGAAGGTGAGTGTTGGTGTTCTTTTTGTATAGATCAAGACTGGAGCTCCGTGTAGAAGTGAGAGGCTGGCCAAATACAACCAGGTAATATTTTGGCTTTTCTTCTCCTCAGTTCTTCCTGTTTCTCAGACTTTTCATTTTTCAAGTGTCCACACATATTTGGGTATAGGATATGACCTTCCAATGACCCCCAAGTGCGTGAAAAAACTTGGAAAAATTGAATATACTTGTGCTGGGCTTATACCCCATACTGAACACAACTGAGTCCAAGAATGTGCTCTTATATTCAAGATGTTTCTCACATGGATCCGAAAATTGAACGATTTCCAGGGTGATTGCATTCTTTTCTTTTTTATATAACTGAATGAGACCATGGAATGGAGTCAAAAAATGCATTATTACAATGTTCAAACAAAACAAGTTGAATTCTCTTGGGTGTGAATATGATGAATCTTCTAGTTTGATCCACATAGATGATAGTTGATCAATCATCACATTGTTAAACAAAATACCTTTGTCTGACACGGAGACAAAGATATGACCTTTCAAATAGTGAGAATAACTTTTATAAAAGTTGGAACATTCTCATTTCAGATGTATATCCATATTCCACAAATACCCAAAACTGAGAAACTTATTTTGCTTGATTATTAATTAGCTTGGAAAGAATCATCTCACTTTGTCCTACACTTCTTGCAGCTTCTTCGCATAGAAGAGGAACTCGGAAATGTCCGCTATGCTGGTGATGCTTTCAGATCTCCTTAGAGGAGTTTTACCAAATTAGCGTCGAGTCGAGAAACGGTTTGACAAGCCCTGGTAAACTGAGGCCAACCTATAGAAAATTTGAGTTTCTGGGATCTGAATAATTTAAGTTTTGCTCTATGTTATATCCGGAGTGTTGAATGTCATTGTGTAATTCTGCTGAGCCTTTGTAACCAGGTTTGTCTTGTACCAGGCTAATGAAAATCAGTATCTGTTGGGACTCTTTATCTTTTAGAAGACACTGAGTGAATATTGGGTAGTTCCGCTAATTTAAGACAGTTTTAATCTAAAATGTTATCGTGTTAAACTTAAAAAGTTACACAAATTTGTAACATTTTAAGTTGTAACCGAAAAGTTACCTTACAAAAGTTTAGGGTTTACAACCGAAAATATTATTAAAAAAGTGATTTTTGTTGTAACTTGTCTAATCTAAAATATTATTCTTTTAAATCTAAAAGGTTATACTTCTAATAAGATGATCAGTTGTAACCAATTTTTGCCCTTTTTTCAGCGAAGTTGTATTTTGGAATTTCGTGTGAATATTGGGTTAAATCGAAGTCATGAAGCAGTAGTATGATCTAAAGTTCTAAACTTTACTACGTTGGATTAGCTTCTTTGAAAGCAACCAGAATTTACAATATACTAGTGTTAACAACCCTGCTTATGCCACGATTTTCAGTTTAATTGATTAAATATAATAAAATTTATTTTAAAATAAAATTTTAATGAAAATATTTTTTATTCGTTTTTTGAAGTTTTTTTATAATATTATTATTACATTTTTTAATTACGGAAATAATCAATTTGACTTGTAAATTAATCTTTGGATTAATTATTTTAAATGTGTCTTTAATTCAATGAGTATAGTAACAAACACTCTAATTCAAAAAATAACTTTTTTTTGCACCAATTAAGTGGTTTACGTGATAAAAGAATTGTTGATATTTTTGAAGACCCGGGTTTGAGCACCATAAATGTCAGGGATATGAATGTTCAATATCAATATGTTGAGAGTTATCTTTGAACAAATATTACATTGTACTTAACCCATTTTAATTTTAAAAAAAGTTACTATTTCTGTTCTTGCCTCTGTAGGCATTTTTTCCCACTACATTATTTTAGGAGTTTTGTCCATTTCTAGTATATCTCAATATTGATTTTTGATAAATTTAATAACGCAAGAATTGATGGAGAAGATGGTGATAAAGAAAAGAAAGAAAATATTGAGAATTAAATTAATAAAATATTAAAATAAAAGTTAATTTTTTAAAATTAAGATCAAATTATAAAAATTGAAAGTTAAATTTATTGTGATGATATTTTATTAATTATGATGTCATCTCAATAATAATTTATATTATTTTTAAAATTTGAATAATTATTTTATTATTTGTTGTACTTAAAAGAATAAAACAATATTTTAATAAGGAGGTTATTTATTTATTTATCCTTAAAGATTAGGCACGAATAGGGCTGTAAATGAGACGAGACAGATCGCGAGCTATTCGAGATCGACTCGGTCAAGGCTCGATAAATACTCGGATTGAATGAACTCGACTCGAGCTCGACTCGAATTCTTAACGAGCTGAAACGAGCTGCTTGATACTCGACTCGAAAAGCTCGTGAGCAGCTCGAAAATATAATATATTAAGATTTTATTTTTTTAAAATAAAATATTAATAATATTAACATTTATGTGTTGAATTTTTTTAAAAATACAGTTAGACTTTTTTGTATTTAAGATTCAGGTTCGAGTTTGAGTTTGAGGCTTCAATCTAGTTAAGTTTAAGATTTTTTTTCAATTCGAGCCTTTTCGAGCTGCTCACGAGCTTCAGTTCAGGATTTTGAATTCGAGTCGAGCTTAAAAATTTTAAGCTCGCTAGTTTTCGAGTCGAGTCGAACTTCATTTCAGAGTTTTCGAGTCGAATCGAGCTCAATAATACTCGAGCTCGACTCGGCTCGTTTACACCCCTATTCACCACCCTATAAAAATGATAAATGAAATGAGTAATATATAGAATTTGGTCAATTTGGTATTGTTTTTAAAAACGCGTTTCAAAAGTGATGTTAGAAAGTACTTTTAAAAGTGATTTTGAAAAGTTAAGTTTAAGGTTTTAGTTTTTGATATTGTTATCCAAAAATATTTTTAATAAGATAAAATGTCTCGTTTAGACACTATTGTAAATTAAAAATATATAATTTAAATTATTTAATATTTTAATGTATAAAACATATCAAATTAAATTATAAAAAAATATAAATGGAAAATATAATTATAATTAAAATATAGGGTAAAGTATAGTAATGGTCACTGAACTTTTTTAAAACTTTCAGTTAGGCCCCTCAACTTTTAAAACTTGCAATATAGTCCTCTAATATTTAGTCCGTTTGTAATATGGTCCCCGACGTAACCGACCGTTTGACGTCATTACAGTGACATTAGTACGTTTGCAATATGGTCACTGAACTTTTTAGGGACTTGCATTTAGGTCCCTTAACTTTTAAAACTTGCAACACAATCTTCAATTTTATTCTAAACCCCAAATTCCTTTTCTATCTCAAATTTTCTTTTTCGCTTTTCTCTTCTCATTTTCAGCGTAACTTTTCAGTCGGGGATGCATGGGAATTTCTAATCTAACACTTGAATAAGAGTCCGTTGAGAGAAGACCCGACCAAAGGACTATCGGGACCATCAACGATTCAAGGTGTAATGTTAGATACATGTCATCTCAGGTGAAGCATAAATGTTCGATGAGATGCTTGTGAGAAAAAATGGGGTTAGAAATGCAGAGTTGACAAATACTTCTAAGATGAACTAAGTATCATTGTTGAAAGTCAGCCACAAAGCTGGAATTATTTTTTTATAAATGACATATAATAATTTCTTCGTTTAATCCTTGTGGTTAAAGATTTTCCAACAGATGATCAAATATAATGAAATCCCAAATAGTGCATTCAGCTCTCAGTCTCTTTCGCTCACATGCACTCTTTTTTGGTTTTTGTTCTTCAATTTTCCGCAATGTAAAATTGTAAACCCAAGCAGTGCTACGTCTTTCAGCTTTTTATTTACAAAAAAAAATGAAGGGAGAATTGTTGAAAAGCAAAACCGATTGCGTTTATTTCTTAGCCTCTCCCCTCACTTGCAAGAAGATATTTATTTTCTCTTTTGGGCTATCCGAAAGTAAGTTTTTCCTCTTTCGGACTTTCCTATTTTCAGCTCGCATTGTGTGTTTTTTTGTTGAAATTTTTATGTTTATGGAACTTCATGTCAATGATCTAGATATTCAGTGTTAGTTTTGAACCAAAACCATCTAATTTTCTTTCATTATTATTAATCAAAACTTTTAGTACTTTATGAAAGATATTCAGTCAATTAGAATTGAAGTGAAAGAGGGTTCTAGGCTAAATTTTTCATCTTCTTGTTTGGTTTTCTTTAAATCAAGGAATTGGTTATGAGTATCGACATAGTGAAATCGCCATCTGTGAGACTGTTAGTACTAGTTTACTAGGAATTGTATTGTTCCGACCTGTTATTTTCGACATCTTGTTAATAAGTTCATGTTGATTATGAGACTAATATATCGTGAACGAATTGGATTTTTTTACATGTTTTGGAAATTTTACAGTTGAATATGTATAGAATTATAGCTTTAGAAGACAATTTTGCATGCACACAACTCGAAGGACATCATGACAGGGCAGTATATTTGGAGCAGCTACTTGATATGTTGCCCGATCATTGCACATTTTCACCTTCATTTCTAACATATATATGTTTGTTGCAGTGTCCTCTATGTTTTACAATGTCTTTTATTACTGACATGCCATGAATTTACCAGGATTATGGGGTCCTATGATTTTAGTTCCACTATATGCTTTAGATTCTCATCATGTTTGGCTATTGAGGAACATTAAACATGGAGCATTAGAAGCAATTATATGTTAAAAGGGTAGGCCATTAATGCATTTGCAGCTGGTAATATTGTATTTGGCATCTAATATTTATCTTAAACAACCCATTTGACGCCTTAGCTTTTGGAGTGACTATGATCGAACCTCTTTCCCTTTACTTATTAAGTCCTCTTTTTGAATGAGCTATTAATTGATATTATTGGTTTATTTTAGTTATTGCTTGGTTGTATGTTGTAGTCCTATGAACTAAAACTCTTTACTATTTTCGCAGCCGTTGGATGTGCATGCTCAAGTTCCATCCAAACCTATTGGATTGTCATACCAAAGTGCGGCAGCTACGAACAAGACAAATTGGCCTTGTTAATTTTACTTCAACGGTTTATGGAATAAACGTGATAGGCACACTTTTCATGTTCAAAGTGCGGTAGCTGTTGGATGTGCATACAATAAACTCCAAATTTATATTAAAGTAAACAGTGTCAAATAGCAAATTAATGTTCAAAATTCCAAAACACTTTAATTATATTCTAAACCCCAAATTCTAAAATACTTTAATTATATTCTAAACCCTAAAATACTTTAATTATATTCTAAACCCTAAATTAAAGTATTTTAGAATTTGGGGTCTAAAATGTAATTGAATTATTTTAGAATTTGGGGTTTAGAATGAAATTGATGAATGTGTTGCAAGTTTTAAAAGTTGGGAGACCTAAATGCAAGCGCTTGAAAAGTTTAGTGACCATATTGCAAACGTACTAACGGTAGTGTAACGGCGTCAAACAACTGGTTGCATCGGGGACCATATTACAAACGGACTAAATGTTAGAGGATTGTATTGTAAGTTTTAAAAGTTAGAGGACCTAAATGAAAGCTTTAAAAAAGTTTAGTGACCATTACTATACTTTATCCTAAAATATAAAATAAATTTAAAAGTTTTTTTTTCTGGGCAAAACATAATTAGTATATATTTAATAAATAATTTATAAAAAAATAATTGATTTTTTTAAAAAAAAATCTGCGCAAAGGAGTAGAACCCTTGCATCATAGTAAGGATAAAAGCATAACTTTGCTTCTAAACGGAAATTTGAACAGGAAAAGTTAGAGAATTCAACTTTTGCGATTTGTTTAAAAGCACAGTTCTAAATGTACTTTTACCTTTAAATTTCACTCGTTTGGTAATGATTTTGCTTGTAAACCTTACTTTTAGATCATAAATGTGTTTATAAAACGTTACCAAATAAAGCTTT